CGTCGCGCGCGAAAGAACTTAGCGGGTTTCACGACGATCCATCGAGCTAGCAGCAAAAGCTATGACAAATAAAGGGTTGCTGGAGATTGTGCTCCTCGGAGTTGTCGCGATGAACGTCGATGAAAACGTCCGGACAATGCGGCAAGGTAGTGACATAACAGCAGAGAGGCTCTATACGAGGAGACCCCTCTTCTGCCCCACGACGTGAAAAGTACCAAGCGAGGCCGGGGTCGGTCGAGCCACCCCTACGCCAACGCTCGAGCGCGGATCAATACAATCCAGCTGTTCTCTTTTCTGCTATCCCTTTCGCGCCACTCGCCCGCTACACGCTCGAATTCAGCAGCCAACCGCTCGCTGGCTGCTCACCCCCCAGCTCAGCTTAACCGGGAAAATGATTTTTTTTTCTCTCTACCCCCTCTTTTTGATTACCCTTTAACACGCTTTCACTCTGTTCTGTTAAATTTACCGAAAATTCTATTCAGCTAATTTTATCTTCAACACATTTTGGTCCTCTGTGAATCTAATAATTAGATCTTTTGGCTTTTAGAAATTCTAAGGATCTTAATTTCAATGTTCACAGCGTGTCAAAGGGTAACAGTTGTTTACACGAAAATGTTTCCCTTTCGTAAGGGATTAGGGAGTCAACAGTATGAGTCATCCCCAGTGTGAAGAGAAAAGCTGTTTGCCTTTTTAATCTCTTTTCACCCTCCGTTCTTTTTATTCATCCTCTATTAAAGCTGGACTTTCCTTTAACATTTTCTAGTCAACTACTATCTGTATTAATGTTCAAAGCTATTACAACTAGTTACATAAATAGGATCAATGAATAGTTTTTATGGCATCTCTAGGTTGCTTCTTCTATTAAGACTGAGCAAGACATACCCTTTAGATACCTCAAGAAGAGAAGCGTTTCAATTTTTATTCGAAATAAAATCTTTGTTCTGCTGTAACTTGATATTAATTTGACATCTCCATTGGCAATATAATTATTTTGTAATTAATGTTAAGTGTTGAAGAAAGTTAAACAGGAGTAGATACAGATACCGATTAGAGATATTAAATATCCCTGTAATCAGAGAAATCTAATTTTTAAATATGCAAATAAAATATAAAATCACCTGACGACGGAGCGTATATTGCTTCGCCGTCCGGCGAGTAGATGCAGTTGTATACGTTGACAACAGCAACAATGTTGTCGCATCTGCAATTGTGCACGCTTCTTTCCATTCGCCGCTTGTAACTTCCTCTTCCTGGATCTCTTCGCGACCTTCTGTCGATCCAAGAAGAAATTCCCACGCCACAGGGTCTCGAAGAAGGCGCGACCGTCGGCTGGACCGCGTCCACGTGCTGGCTTCGACGGAGACACCGTTACGGACATGGTCATTCCTCGAGTATAAACAGCCAACTGAATCCCTCTCGTTCCTCTGATCCTCTTAAACTAATAATCGCGTCGTGGATCCTCTTGAACTTGTTTCCCCTGTAAATTCTCTTCTCTGCTACGAGGCACAACGTTGTTTAATCCCTTAAAACCTTTGTTTTTTACATTTGTTATCCATCAAGCGAGACACAGCGTGTCTACAACGAAGATCCACGATAGCTTCCGGTGTCGTTGTCATTAAATCGTTTCATTTCGTTCAACATCCAATTTCCTAGACCATCAATCCCGTAGGGTCTGAATAATTAACGACCGGTAATTAGATGAGCATTAAGGACGATCGGCCGCTAATTTACGCTAAGGAGCTCTGCCGGTCGGGCCACGCTCTGCAAGTACTTCCGATGCAGCTTAATCCCCTTTTCGAGGGAGGCTTTGATAGTTTGGGAGGGTGGAGGCACAGGTAATGGCTTCCTCCCACGATTACAGCAGCACCGCTGCTCTCCTATTCAAAGCTCCTGGCAAGAACAATCATCCGGTGACAATGACGACAAACGTCAGCTTTCCTATGCCCCGTTGGATTTTTTTTTTTTTCTTCTCTTTCTCTGGTAGTCGTTGAATAATTTTTTTCTTTTTTTCGTCGTGTCGCTTGATCGATTGCTTCCACCGAGAGTAATCAACGCTGAAACGAGCTTCTCCCTAAATCATCCCTTCTTACTTCATTTCTAGTTGGGGCGATTGCTCCATCAACCACCAGACCATTCTTCGTAGATCTTCCCTTTTGTGCTTTGTACAGTATTATAGATTGTATATTTTAGTGTAAGAATATAAGAGTATATCGTGGTTGTATTTCAGCTTAGACTAAGGAAGACTTCGGATCAGGCACACCATCGTCGTACGACGAGATTTTGGTTTTTCTTAATTAATTATCGTCGATTGATCGACTCGGAGACACATGGATTATCTGGAATATAATTTAGATTCTTTGTCAACTTTTTGATCCCTTTCTCAATCAATTAGAGACACGTGGGGATTGTCTTCTCCCTATCTTTCGAGCTTTATTACTTGCGTTTCTTGGCGGATGAAATTTCAATAATTATGAAATTATTATTTACTCGAGCACGTATTAATCTCTTCTTTTCCAAATTATATTTACGTACCTTACAGTTACACTTAAACGCGACGAGTTAACACTTAATTGAATATACTAATATCGATGGACTACACGCTAATGGAAGACTTTTGTGATTTTCTTATCGAACGTATCACGAGATCGTTACATGTTCCCTTTTTTAAATTCCTTTTTATTTGTCGACGATTCCTGGATATACGTCGAGAGTCGACGACGCGGAGCGTCGCAACGCCGGTCCATCCTCGCACTGAGGCGGAAAAGTCGAGTGAGAGATGCTGGAACAAACTCTCCCTCTCCCCTCGTCCCGATGGATATATAGCTGTTTCTCTTCTCTTTCTGTACACCCTTCGACTCTCCCTTTTCGTGGGTGGCGCCGGCGCTATGGGGTACGTCGATATCGTCGGCGTAATATCCCTGAAAGCCGGCTCGAGGGAACGCGAACGTCTCCACCCTCCAATAATATTGGGTTTAGCGGGAACCTGAGCCTCGACGAGGGGGTGCAAGTGCTCGAAGATTGCATTTACACGAGCTTCCAGTTGAGTAACTATTGGGCTCTTGCCCCGAGGGCTCTCGCGATCACGATCTTCAGATTTTCAAGGGATCTTAGAGACGCACACAATTTTGTAGAATGTACATAAGAGATCCTAAGGTTTTCAAAGTTTGAAGAGAGAAGAACTTAAGAAAAATTGAAACTGTTTTCTGGCAACGTTTCTGCCTAAAGATAAGATCCTTTATATGTTTATACTCGTGACCAATGAGATTTTTAATAAAATATACAAACAGGTTACAGAAAGTGGCTGTCTTATATCGCATACAACATACTTCCTCTCAAACATGGATTCTCTGTTTATTTATTTTAGCAGAATTTCAATATATAATTTGTAATATCATGTATAAATGCAGAAATGTAAAATTAAGAGTGAAATAAATAAAGACTGTACTTACTTTACACGGCCAAATTCATCCCTAGATATTACTGGTTTAGTATCTGTTCCCATTAACATGGATCTGTATGATTCTACTTTTTTTGTTACCTCCTCACTTGTAAACCTGTAAAGTAAAATCCAAATATTAATACAATACAAAAATCCTGGCAAATATTAATTTTGTTAATTATCTGTTCATAGAAAGTACATTGGCTAAGAAATATACACCAGAGATATACATTGAAGCCAAAGGTAAGCTAAATCCAATTGAAGTTTAAAATCTAATTTAGTATTGGGTTCAAGGAGTCAATAAAGCTACACATTTATTACATATGTCATTTTTGAACTTCTTTTTAAGAAAACTATTTTATTCTTCATTTTTAAATTCTCAGTTGTATGATTCATTCGTATAAAAATACCTACCCCTGTTCTTCTAAAATATCTGCTAATTCTGCACATTTTACTTCAACTTTTCTTTTTCTAACATGATCTAGGATTTCTTTGTTAGGTTGTTTATTCAGCTGATCCAATTTTCCTTCATCAGTTTTATAGGTGACTTTATCCTTTGCTTTGCGTATAATTGCCCAATTTCTTTGGACATGTCCATTAGTTCCAGAACCACGTGGTGTTTGTAATCCAATTCCATTATACATTTTGTATTATACCTGCAATATAAAATACAAATATCTTTTGTTAATATTATTACTGTAAACAAACGTATGATATACTATTACTTTATATAATTTACATAATATGGGTTCATTAATTAAATAAGTTTCATCACATATGTTATATCACAGTATTAATATTTTACTTGAATTATAGTCTATAAAGGAATAGGAAGTTTAAATAAAATGATGTTATCAATATTTTTTCTATAGTTGTACAGGTACAAGAAATAAAAGAACATTTCTATAGGCAATTAAAGATTAATAAATATGCTAACAATGAATGACAGTAAGTAATAATAGACATAGTGGCCACATTTAAAAACCTAAATAAAGATTTCCATTACAGCAATTACAAGATAAACTATAATAATCTTTTTAAGCATCATACAAATCTGAACTGAATTGTAACGAATTAATTAATAATATGTCACGATCAAAGTAATAACTCAAAAGGGAACAGGAAGGTAGGTTAGAATATAATACACCCAAATCAATTATCGATCCGGCGAATGCTGCGCAAATTTCACGGCTATATGTTTTACAATACTGTAAAATATTACCTTAGCATTAGTAATAGTAGTGACAATCTTGTTGTGCCATCCACAGAAATGTCGATTTCCCGAATTATTGCAAAATGAAATCGATCACTGAAAAAAAACAACGAGCACCGCGATTTCTGTGGCGTTACAGTTTCACGCGGCAGCCTCGGAACTTACTGTATGGTGGCGCCATTGTTTCTACGAGCGTAGAACCAACAAAGTTGCATCGCCCTGTAATTAATTATTATTCCTGATTAGTACTGATGCGAAAAGAGGAACATTTATTTTAATTTGATATTTGAAATATCAGACATAAAAGTCACCTGATTTATTCGATTATTAAGTTAATGTTTGAACAATAAACATTACCTTAATTGTTGCATCAATTTATGCAAGGTGCATTGCGCATGCACTTTTCTTTGAAATAAAGGCGCGAGATTTGCAGAAAATACTTGGTAGAAAACACATGTGATGCAACATAATGAAATTATAAAATTACACTATTTGTAAATATTTAATACATTAAATAATTCTATTCGAAAGTAGTAAAGTTGTTTCTGTATAATTTTTTTTATGAGTACTTGGCAATGAACAATTTTAACAAATGCTATATGTTTATAACCTCTATCAAGATCATATTTTAATGCAAAATAGGAATTCTTAACTTGTAAAGAAAAATGGAAGTTACCGTAGGAGATATAGTGATGCCTGGTGATGCTGTAAAAGATATTGCAACTATTAACAAAAAGGAAACAATTGTCTTAGGACCCGGTCTTCGTCGCGAAGCCGATACAGTGTTTGCATATAAAGCAGGGATACTGAGGAAAACGCAACCAGCTGTATATTATGTAGATAGTTATCAGAAACGGTAATTGAATTTCATCAAGTAAGATAATAGTATTTTAAATAATAAAACATTAAAAATATGATTTGCAGTTACATACCAAATCGTGGAGAGAATGTGATTGGGATAGTAACACAGAAGGGAGGTGATATATTTAAAGTAGACATAGGAGCCAGTGACCAAGCATCACTCTCATATCTTGCATTTGAAGGAGCTACTAAGAAGAACCGTCCTGATATTCAAGTTGGGGACATTGTGTTTGCAAAACTTTTGGTTGCTAGCAAAGATATGGAACCAGAGCTTGTATGCGTAGACTCTCATGGCAAAGAAAAGGACTTAGGTGTTTTGAGTAACGAGGGCATGCTCTTTACATGTTCCTTGAGTCTCATTCGAAAGATATTGAATCATAAATCTCCATTGTTCAAGACACTTGCACAAAGTCAAGCATTTGAAGTAGCAGCTGGTATGAATGGAAGGGTTTGGGTGAAAGCAAGGACTGTTCATGAAACAATAGCAGTGGCAAATGCTATTTTAGCAGCAGAATATGCTGCACCCAATGATATAAGAAAATTGTGTTCAGAGATTGAAAAAACACTTCTTTTAACACAATCAAACAACACTGATTAATTACAATAAAAGACAATCATCTTTTATGAATGATTATTTATTGTATCAATATTTTTAATGAGTTTTATAAATAAATCTGTATGATTTCTTATGTGAAATATGATGATTATAGTGACAACCATTGTGACAACCATTGTGATAAAAATGTAGAATTAGAACTACACATAGTACACACATTTTTAAGTATGCTGGTCATGTATACTGATACACTAATACAATAAAAATGTGAGTAATACTACAGTTAATGAATGATGTGAAAAAATGTCCTTAAATATTTGTTTTTCCGATTGCAATTTAATAATGAACATGTATTTAATATCAAAAGTATTTTTATGAAGTTAATATTATAAAGTACGTTTCTTTCAAACAAATCAGAACTCTATAAGAAAAATCGAATAGGGTGTACTAGTTCCTACAATGTACCTTTAATGATTGTAATTAGTATTTAAGTGTTAGAGATGAATAAGTTGATCTGCTATATTTTGTCTGATATGTAACTAATATTTGTTTTTTCTTTTTAACTGTAGTATGAAAGCTAATATCTAACTAATGATAGTATCAGATATTCAAGCACAACCTTGACTTTCTTTATTTTTTTTTCCACAAAAATACTTAAACAACTTTTAAATCAAGCATATTACATTTTTATAGTTTTTCTTTTTTAATACAGGATTTGTACGTGATGGAATGTGCATTGTTCATAGCTTATAAAATAAACTATGAACATGTTAGTATTAGGAAAACATTTTTCTAAATATTACAACCACGTGTAATAGCAATGGAATGAGTCCATACTCCAAGTTTAAAATTAAGATAACACTGATTTTAAAATAGTGCTCAACACTATATGGACATGGAGTATTATCAGATTTTAAATAATAATAATAATAATAATAATAATGTGACAAATATATATATATATATAAATGTATATGACATAAATAAAGTAAATTAATCAAGCGTGCAAATACAACAGTTTATACAAAATACGGAAATAAAACGACAATGCGTACATTATATACAAATGTTGCTTGCTATGTATGTTTTTGTTTTTTCATTTTTATAAAACAAATAATTTATGTAAAGAAATCACCAAAAATACTTTGGTTACTATATGTGTAACACAACACAGTATAACTTAATACAAAAACTAATGTAAAGATTAATACTTATTCTCTATAACATTATTTCTGGAATTACCATTATAAATCTCCTTTACCATTACTTAATGTAAGGTTGTTAAACTAATGTTATTAATCTAATAGGTAATGACATGACAGATGTGTAGTTTTTACAAAAAGTAAAGAAATATTTAGTATTTACAATTGTTTTCACTTGTAAATACAGATATTTATGCAAAGTCTCAGAGGAGAAATTGAAAAAGAGGCTTTTTGGAAAAAAGCACAACTAACTTGAAGCTTTTTGTAAAAACCACATTAAACTTCTTTTTATTCTGGTATGTCATCGGCAAGCAATATGTATGTTAGGGACGATTCATGGTGCCACCAGCAACCATTATACTATTCTATGGTACTGTGCTTTACTTAATTTATGTTTCACATGTGCTATGTGAAGTAAATATATTAATGAAATACATTTGACTACAGAGGTATAATGATAAATGCTATGCACATGTGGTGCTTAATAGCGTTTGTTATCCAAAAATGCATGATCATAAATGGGAAACAAAACTACCTGAAAAAGTTATTAATTTTGTTGAATTTATATAATGTGGAATATAAACAAAATATCTGCCATAATTACTAGGTTTATGTTATTGTAATCTACCTCATAAAAATATATCTATTTAACACTGGTATACAATCTGATTCATTTTTTGGTATACAAAGGTAAAAAATTTGTTAGATAAAATTAAACTTAGCAACGTATTTTTGATTTTAATATCAATCTGAAGTACCTAATTAAGAAGAACATATTATTCATAATGTTAAAAAAATACTATTTATCCTTCAAAAAGAAAATTATAATTATTATCTTATCATTTATTCTTGGCTTTAATGATATTATTTTATTGATTGTATTCCTAATATAATGAAGGTGATTTTATAAACATCCTATGTTGCATAGGTAGATATGCAGATCTTCTATAATATGCAATGGCAGAATTCTAAACTCAGAGGACTTAGCTTCATTGTTAGCTCTCATAGTAGCCAGCAATTATAAGAATAATTTCTCATTTTATATTCCAAGTAACATTTATACTTTTTTTTTTCTTATCAGGTTTCACCATGTTGTTAATGCCACTAAATGTAAAACCTATGCCTTCACCAGATAGCTTTGATAGAGACAGTTAAACATTTAAATTACAATATATCTATTGTTATGTAAGTCAGCAGAAACAAGTGATCATACTTTATTTGAATGTGCATGAGATATGAAGGGTCGTGTCTTGAAGTATTGAATAGATTATTGCTGAATTTTTTAAACTTAAGATTCTTTTTGTATAGAAAATGAATACAATTGTTCTATGTATTATTAATATTTAAAAATTTTGCATTGTTAAAATTTATCAAAATGATGTCTGCTTTATACAGTCTCTGAATGAAAGAATATACAACACGACTCTTCTGAAAGAAAGAAGAAATATGATATTCTACATCAAAGATTCTTAATGGGCAAATCTACTAGATCACTCTTGAAGCTCGATATCATAGCACAAAATTATCTATATGAATATGTAGATAAATATTCATCACTGCATTTCAGCAATATTATTATTTATATAAAAAATTGTCTTTGCTTATAGCTAAAATATTACGATGCCTCGGCTATATAAATATATATATATATATATTTATATCGTTATCATTATTGTTATTATCGTATTATTATTTTTCATTAGCGCGTATATATACCATTCACAACACAGAGTGCATAGTACGAAGCCGAACTGAGTCTGTTCACCCCTATAATTTATCATGCTAAAGGGAGGAACAGATCATAAAGCTTCAATGTAACAACGCACAACCAATATTTATACAACCTGCGTGCACCAAATTGCTTTTTGTCAGTTTCTTTATATTGACAAAAGCAAGATATTAACTTATACAATTGTTTTAAGTAGAGTCATTAAGGTATTATGTTTCTCACAATATGAACTTCACTAATAACAGATGAAAGACTAATACGAGAATCAATTTCCACAACCAGTTCTATATTCGTCACTTGGAGAGCTTTAATAGAGATTAATTTAAAACAAAAAAACAAAAAACCGAATAACAAGAACAAAAGAACATATCGTTTGATCTTTCCTGAGAGCTTTAGGTAAAGAATCAAAATAATACCGTATTTTTAATGAAGAAAAGCCTCAACACTAAGCACTCACTACTATAATAAGATATTTTTCACAATGACAAATTCTGATATGATACTACTTGTAAATTGTGGAAAATAACTATGTATTTGTACAGGAAGAACTTTTATCAAAATCATCAACCTTATTGATTGACTAAGTTGAATTTCATTTTATGCAATTTCAATGAGATGATAATATTCATTATCATAGAAAATGAATATCTGGGAAAAGATTTGTTTCAACAATTCATTATCAAACTTGATTCTATCAAAGATGATATCCAAAATATTTTAACTTATTCTACTTTATCCTACATTTACTGCTAATCTGAATGCAATGAATTGAACTGAAGTGTATGATGCCCAGGAATAATTCTTATTCGCTGAATATCACGAAGATTATTAATGGATTCTTTTTTTTTTTTCGTTTACTTTTTTAAAAAGTTCACACACTGAAACTTATTGTTAAAAAAATTGTGCTATCTCGCGCTTGTTAAAAGTTTCTTTTTGATAAAATTTGATTTTATAGTATTTTTTATAATAATTCTGTAGCGGTAAATATTGCATTTGTTATTAAGGTGGTGCAAAAGCATGTTGAAGCATTACATATTAATTGAATGATTGCATGCAAAGTTAAAAGTACGAAGAATATAATATTATTATAAATAATGCTAACATAGTAGAATTACTTTTCAATTAGAGTACCATGGTTTTTACACTGTACACTCTCTGATTCACAGGATTTTTCTCCAGAAAGAGTATATGGTGCATTGTTCACTAATCTTAAATTCTTTGGAAGAAAAACATTACCAACATATTCTCTAAAAACAAAAACAAACAAATTCTTATAACAATAAATAATAATAAAAAAAAAATCTTTGTAAAGACGCAAAAAAAAAGGAACTTTCGTACCAATGACTTCTGCACACCTTAAAACGGCAGTAAGCAAGCCTTTATCATACCTCGCGTCTGACAAAATCTGTTTAATCCGATTATGTGAATTTGCGATAATCTTACTTTCTGCATGATATTGTCGTCCCTTAAGATTTCACTTGTATGCAGTAATAATGATTAAAAATAATTGTAAAAACATTGTCATGTTCATGCAGAATGTAAGAGCAAAGTATGCCACTTATATTAACACCGTACGAACTTTAATTTCACGGAAATTTCGTTTTGTTTGTTCTTAGAATTACAGTCTTACTAAGAATATTTGTTTAGCTTACAGGAGTTCTTCACCTTTAAGCTCGATTAATGAGCAATAATATCGGATTTTCAATGTTAGAACTTCCTTGTAAACATCTTCAAAAATGTTCTACTCCGTTTTTTCACAAAACCTAACAGAGTCTTACATATGCTTTGAACACTTTACATTGTAAGTGAAAAGTTTTACTTCATTCGAACACTCAAAATGTATGATGCATTTCTCAATTTTTCTGACTATAAACAAAAACAAATCTCAGTTTCAACGGTGATTATCGTCAACCTCACCGCTTACCCGATCTCTAAATTCTGCGATACTTTGGTAGATTCGAGGCCTCTTGTAATTCCAGTTACTTACGTTTAAGGTGACACATAAATTGTGCTCAAGCCACTTGTTAATAAAAATTAGCCACAGAAATCTAAGTATTTAATCGCTAAAGTCGCATAGGTTGCACAACGCTGTTATTGTTCAAACGTGTGGTAGTCTGGTTGTTGAAATTTTCATCTTGCGGAATATGTTCGATTCTTTCATCAAAAAATCCTGGATTCAGAATGATATTGGGTACAAGTTCAATCACTTCCTGCTCCTCCAGCTGCGCTGCAATTCGGGAACGGAGATTAATCTTCATTGGTCTGGGCCACGAGTTATATTAGCTTCTACCCTCTCCCTTTACAAATCCTTTGCTAGGCCATAAATGCTCATTAATATTTTATAATAAATTTTCAGAAATCGAATTTGAAATTTATTTTTACATAAGTATAGCTAATGAATTGTATTAAAAATTTATTTATACAGATAGGTACACTGTTTACCCAGCAAATATATGTACATATGTGCTGTCTTTGACTATATTTGATATAATCAAAGACATACTAATAGCACATAATGTTATCTAGGCCATAATGCTCTATTACTATCATAATACTCTATATTCATGACACTAATCATTCTGCATAACAAATTCGATATAAACCACCAAAACTTATGTGAATTCTAAATATAACATATTTGATAAAATTGGAGAAAAAAGTAAAATAAATGGATAGATTAAGTTTGGTGGTTAATAAAATTCATTCAAAATTTTAGGTTTCATTCCTATTAGGAGCATAAAAGGTGCTACTGACAGGCAAACTGTACAGAAAAGGTAAAAATATGTTACATATTATTTTAGTGCCTTATGATGTAAGGTGTTTAGTGCAAAAGTTATAAAAGTGTTATTATGTTAAAATGGTATTGTTAGAAGATTCATTAAATGCTAATAAATTTTTTAAGTTAAACGCTAAAAAATTCATTAAAATACTAATAATTTGCAGAGCGCTTGCAGTAGGGAAATATTAGTGAAAGATAATTGGCACTGTATTAGAATAGCACTAAATTGATTGAAAGGAGAATAGCTGATGTAAAGAAAGCTAGAGATCAGGGCCATAGATAAGTTAAGTGGTTAGTGATGCTATCGTTTCTGCTGCAGATCTTCTCGAGATAATAATCGATTTACATACACTTTTATAATTCGATATTCTATATCTGTATTTCAATTCATTTGCATAAAAGAAAAGAAATTTCATCAGCAGAAATAAATAGCATGAAAGAGAAAGAGTAGAAGCAAAAGCCTTTAGATAAAGTTACCAGGAAATGCTTACAGGGTACTTTGCACTCACGATAGAGGAGGTAACAAGTACCTATACCAAGAATCATAAGTGTACCCATAACTATCCCTACTGCTGCCACCCAGACACGAGTGTCAAAGTTTTCTACACCTGCTAAGAGATGTCTTGCAAGTTCTGAAAGAATCGCAATTAATAAGCTATACAATATTGATATATAAATATTGATTTTGTTTTCATGCAGAATCCTGCCCTTATGGAATAGTACAATTCACATTATGTACCTAGTTCTTCGATACTGTGATGTGTATGACCTTCAACCTCAACAATGTCACCTCTCCCTAGCTGATTTGTTGCCCAAACTCGGAAAGAATAGGTCGTGTTTGGCACCAAGTGATATACATCAATTTGCCTCTGCAGAATCATTAATCATATTAACAAAACTTATAGATAACAGAATACTGATCTGATGTAAGGGAAATTTACAGAATTTGGTGGAATGTGCGTTGGAACAATAGGCTTCCAGTCTTCTGGTTCTTCACCCACACTTGGTTTAAGACGATATTCGGCAGTGAAATCTATGATAGGATAACCACCTGTGCCAGCTACTTCCCAAAGAATATTTGCCAATATTGTTGATGGTTTTACCCATACATTGTGCAAAGCTGGAGGAGGAGCTAAAAACACAATACATATATTAATATTCAACTATCTAAAAGTTATAATCAAATGATGACTTACTTCTAACTTGTACATTGATTCTAGTTTTAACAGCATCATGATCATCATCTAAGGTGCATGAATAGTTTCCAGCATCATCTGCACTGACATTAATAAGTTCCAATGCTCCATTAGGCTCAACCTTTAGACGTTCAATTTGTCCATCTTCGCGTCCCTCCCTTATCCACATCATTCCAACAGACTCTCCTGACTGTGGCAGTGCATCTTCTTCTGCACATGCCAGAGTCAAATTCTGTCCAAGGTCTACAGCCACCGAGCGTACTGGCACTAAAGTTACTGCTTCGTGCCATGCTGAAAACGACATAAAATGATTGAATTAATTTACAATGAAATTTTATATGAAATTATTTTTTATATAGTACTTGTTGTTTTTAATTTATCATCATACATTTGTTCTTAAAATTCGTACAAGTACATGTATACAAAATTCTTTAAAATTTTTTACACCTATTCAGAAAATTTTGTATAATTATTATTCGTTCATACAAAATTATAAATTACATTTTTCTCCAATTGGTTTCGCCTAACATCGAATAGAAGACAGAAAAAAAATTGACATAAAAATTGAAACGGAACGCTTGAGAAATCAAAATACTTGTTAAAATTTACATAACTCGACCCTGAATCGTAACGATCGTGTACTTAGCACGATTTATACAGTTCACGTATACAAACGCAGAAAGAGAGGCTGAACGTGTAATATCACATTGATCCGCAGGTGCACTTACGGCCGAGCGAATTATCCTTTCTTACCTGCCAGAAAAAATATCAGCGTAATGATTCTATGACCAACCATTCTCCCATATTAGACGGTCTCGCGTGGATGCATACGGAAAACGTGTTAAGGATTTTTTTTCGGCCTCATCTCTTGATCGATTTTTTACTTTTGAATAACGTTCAGTACGCGGGAGCTGTCAAACTCATCACGCTTCGCGGAACACCGCCCGTCCGGCGCTCTTTGGATTTTATTGAGTTGCCGATGGCGCGCTCTCGTGGTTAAACAGGAAACTTGATCAAACAACAGGGCTGCAACTGCACCAAAAATGAAAGTAACAGCTGCCGTCTCTAAAAATACATATAAAATACTGTAAACTGTATAAATTACACCTATTAATACATATAAGAAAAATTAAATGTTATTCCCAATCGATGACATACATTTTATATAAGATTCATCGTTCAATTTGAAAATGGTGATTGTTTTTTCGAGGGATTCGAAGGGTCTAGAAATGGCTAGTTACCTCGTTAAATGGATCACTGCACGCGGGAACAAGTGCATCGATACTCGTATCAGAACTGGTTGAATCTGCTTTACTGATTGAGGAAGAGCTGCTCCATATTTCCCTCTATCTTTATCAGGATTAACCAGACAAAAACGATAGACACCTCGCAATGGGATAATCGCGGTAGTTGCGTATGATTGCTCGCATTTGTATGTGTGCATACGTGAACACCATTGTACAAAGTGAACCATGGATACAAGAGGAGCGGTTGAAATCTGTCGCTGAATTGGTATGTATGTGCATGCATGCCACACGCGACCGCAACGTAACTATCATCGATCAGTACTTCAAAGAATTTAACCATCAGATCTATTGCCAACTACGTATTTCCGTTTGTACGAAAACACGAATTGTCAGCGACGCAGAGATTGTCTGTTCTCATTCATCAAACTTTCTGATTTTATACAGTAATATATATGTTGCCTCATAATCCTCTGTTATTATTTAATATGCATTCAGACGAATCAATGAATGTTGATCTTTCGTAAACTCAATGTACTTCTTCTGTGTAATTATTTATATTGTTTAAACCTGCAAACTTAAAAAATCAATGGTTTTATACTTAAGCAATTATAATAAAAAAATAAATTTTATGAGATCGAAAGAATATTGTTATTTTACTTTATCGATAAATTTATGTATTTAGTTACTTTTGACGCAGTTTAATGGAACATAAAAACTAAATTCCATTTATGAGAATAATAAACAAGTATTTAGAAGAACCTAATATTTACCCTGGTTTATTTGGTACCAATATTTTAAGGGGTTAGAAAGGACCGCTTCGTCACTGTTCTCCATCTTTATCTATGTGACGCAATTGGTGACGTTGAAGAAAAGATCGATCGAATTTCAATACATTTGCAGTAGATTTTTTACCTTTTAATTGTTTCACGTTACATATTTTGAGTTATTTGTATATGTATGAAGTACTCAAAATGTTCGATACTCGATCGAAATCGATAGCCGATTTCAAGTATTCGATCTGATTCGATAAATCGAGTTTTTATCGTTCTGAATGCGGGAAACTTTGAAATTTCAAATATCTGAAACTGAAAATTCCCAAACTTCAAAATCCGATTAAATTTGGATTTTAATGCAATAAATTACGTACGTATGTACTGTGTTAAAGGGTGTACATTACTTCTAATTATCACTGGCTGTAATTAGCAACGGGGATACATGGCTTACCGTGGCATTCATTTACACGGACGAAATTAATCACATCGGTCAATACACGAATTCCAAGAGGAATCAGAACCATAATACAGATTTGAATTTAATTATCATTTAATAAAAATGATGATTAATTTAAGCTAAACGAAATAAATATTATTATAACTAGCAACTTTTTAGCGATTTACCTTTCTTGTTACGCTATTAATATACTTCAATTTCATTTCTTCTCATAAGTGACTTTGTTCATTAAACTTATCCCAGGCGTATTCATGCAAGAATAGTCTACAAAATTGCGCCTCAATGTCAACGTAATGCACTTCGATGATAATGAACTGTGAGGGGAGATAATGCAAAGCAGTATATACGATAGCACGTAACGAGGGTAATGTAATCCTCTTACAGAATTTCTATCGTAAAGTCAATATATTGGAGAGTACGATGAACCTTTACGGGCTTTTAGTTCCGGCGAACAATGTCTAAAAATAATTCCTCGATATCTTTTTTCGTCGACTACGGTTAATTGTAATATTAACCAACCGTTGTTTCTACTAAGCTGCATAGTTCAAAAGTTTTCTATGTTTCTTCTGAGTTACATATAAAATTTCATTGTTCTAATTACCAAACGTCGAATCACTTCTTTATTTTAACTAAAAATAGACGGTTGATAGGTAAAGTTCGCTCGTGAATGACATTTTGGTAGCTAGCTGAACATTTTCACCCTGTACACGTGTAATCTGGAAGCGCGGTCGAACTTGTTACGCTAATTAAGGGGCTGGGTCTTTTATAATAATGGAGCAGAAAGTTAAACAGTCGAAAGGTCTAGCTCTGACATTAAAACGTTCCCAGAATACTTTGTTCTGTTGTGAAATTCTTGCAAATGTTCATTTCAACATTCTTCTGATATTAAAGATTTTTATGAACTTCCATAACTGTGTTTCCATATTCTGATAACTTTTCTAACTACATAGTTAGAATATGGTATTCCATCTAACTGGGCCAAATTATAACTCTAAAATAGAATAAAACTTCATTAGACAAAGTTCCATTTAAAAAAAAAAAGGGGGTAGTCATTCAACGTTTCCTGTCTCCTACCATTTTAGAACTCCAGCCAGATGCGTGGGAGAGCTAGTACACAACTTGTATAAATAAAGTATCGCTCCAATTAATCATACACGGTATTTGAACAGAGCAATACAAAATAACATCCACGGTTTACTTGTTAAACCACGAAGACCTTTTCCTCGTTCATCGCGCGATTACGTGTAAATTAGAGCGTTCGTTAAAGAAGAAGCCTTTCGTCGACCCAGTTTCCTTTTCGTCCCTCTATCTTCGTTACTTTGCACCGCAAAAGATTTCCGCGTAACTTTCCAATTACAAACAGCCAGATTTCATTGAAAAAAAAAACTCTCTTTTCTGAGAGAAACTTTTTTGACTGTTATCGTATTTCTCTCCGCTTCGCCTTCGTCTTTGTTTGATTGTATACACGGTGTCGGCCGGATGAGCCTGAGGAAAACGAGGTATACCTTAACCGGGCACCTAGGCCACGAGGGTGGAAACTTCGACCCGTCCTCTCGAAATGTCAAAGGTTGCCGCGCAAGGCGCATCGACGTATCCCCGTTTTCCAGGAGCCACCAGACGAACCTGATCCCATTGTTCCTGTTCCATCGTCGGCGAATAATTATCAACATTTCCATTCTGCGCCATTACATCGCTGAGATTCTTCGGAAATGGTGAACACCTCCGCATCTTCGATCCCTCAATTTTTTATTCGAGCAGCACAGGAGACAGATATAATGATCCTATTTAGAGTCATTGATTTTCCAAGTCAAGGGAGACAACTGATGATAAATTATGGATGCCAAGAGACTCGATACCTGTGTTGGCTCAAATTCCAAACTTCAGAGAATGTGTAAGAAAGAAACTTTACCCGAGAAGTGAAAAAACTTGAAGTAACCATGAGTAAAACAATTTTGTTGAAAATTGTACAACTCCTCTCTTTACGTTCCTTTGTAAAACATCTGCCTTTTGTTTCTTTGAACACACACATGGATTGTAGCTGCTGATTATTATCTGGAAGCTGATTAATTGCGTCAATTAAGGATTGAATTAAATAACACCTGTTTATATGAGATTCAATGTAACCCATCCAATTTAAATTGCTGTAACATTTAAATGTAAATTATACTAACATCAGTTGAGAGATGAATTTTGAATCGAAGAATTGAATTTTCTTGGAAGGCAGACGTTGAAAATGAATATTAACATTGGGTTTTCCAACTAATGAAAACGCAAAGTCATTATGCTGTTCCTTTGGTTTTTCTGACAACACTTTGTGAGATAATCGCACTGTTTTTCACTAGCATCTTCTTCTTTTTTTCCTGCGTTTTATCGAAGGTTTTCCTCTTCCACCATGTATTTCACTCTTTGAACTTTAAATAGTCGTAAAATTTTTACAGCAAAAATGGTTTCCTTGGAAATTGCTCGAGTAATGTCAAAGGTTCCAAGTTCCATCGCAAGCTTGGAACATCGTAGCCTCTTTCCTTGGGATATGAATTTATTGAAAGGAATGGATCTCGAGAGTCCTTCGTCGGCTTAACATTAAATTACTGCTTTTGTGTTTTGTGTATTGTTCCTCGTTTGCATTCGGTTAGGTATCCTCGGTTCAATTTAGGGTCTTGGGTCCTGGGAGAGCCTAAGTAGAACCTTGGAAGAGTCTAAATGAAATCTTGGTTGATCCTAAGTAGAATCTTGGGATTGCCTAAATAAACCTTGAGTAAGAACCTAAGTAGAATTTAAATAGAACCTAAGTAGAACCTTGGAAAAGCCTAGGGAGAGCCTAGAACTTCCTATCGCATCTTAATATCATATCGAATCTGAGAGGATGAGATTATAAAAGTTGGCGTTTCATTTCAAATGAAATGAGAGGAAGTTTCTGAATTATGTTAGCCACGAGATGGAGTTTCTTTTCGGATTGTATAGCGGTGAAGCAAAAAGTAATGGTAAAAGGATTTTCCCGATATTGCAACGCTAGCAACGGGCTTGATATACGGACGGCTACGTGTTTACTACTTTCTACTGACCCCAGACATTCTGGCGCTTCGCTACTCTACGTTTCGAACAACGTGCTGTCCCATTTATTCCGCTGCACATTTATCTATCTGTCTCAGCTATGCTGATCTAATTATTAAACGAACACTGATTCATTTTTGAGACAAACAACTAGATTCTTATAATTGTAATTAATGGAACCACTCAAATACAAGCTTATGAATGAAATGTAAAATTATATTAGAAAATAACAGAGATTTTAGATTTCTAATGTGTACCGTTGTAAAATTACAGAATATATAATGATTTAAATAACAGAATGAGAACAGACGTGTTTGCTAACTTTGCATTCCGTGAACGAATATCGCCTACCATTTAACGAGATGCATAGAACGTCGATTGAAAAGAAGAAACCTAATAAAATACCCTCATAAATATTGAACGCACATACCTGTACGAATCGCGCGTTGATTTTTTTGAATTGCACCACGAATTTCCACTAGACGAAGATCAAAACGTTCACCGCGAATACAAACGGAAGAGCGGAAGGACTGCTATAAATACGGTGCGATTTGCAAGCGTCACAGAAGCTACGATCGTGTACCGGAAATGCGATCCTCGTTATGGAACAGAGATAACGTGGAGGAAACGAGTTGTTTTCATGTATTCTGGAAAATGAAAACAACGCAGGGAACAGGTGTGAAAAATTATACAATAACACTTTTCCAGAAAAACCGATCTAAACGTATCTTATACGGGTTTATCGTGTCCTCGATAATCCTAAACTTCATCGAGGATGTCTGAGATACTTGAAATATCCATATGTACGTGAAAATATGTTTATACGAACAAAGGAGAACGAGTTTACGTGACAAAA